ATGTGTAGTGTATCATTTGCTCTAGGTTTACTATAAAATCTTTCTGCTTATCTAAAAAGATAAAAAGTTTCAGGATGTGGCCACAACTGTGATTAATTCTATGACCCTTATGAAGGTATATATTATCTGTCTTCTGTAGCTATATTTTTCCTTTTAAAATAAACTCTGAAATTAGGCCCTATACATGAATAACCAAACATCTACATATACTTAAGATGGTGAACATGTTTCTTCCAAAGTCTTTATTTAAATTTGTTCTTCAAGAGGGGAGTCAGTACATTGTCACTACCAGTAAACTGAAGAGAAATGCTATTTTAAACTGCAGTCTTTCACTGCTTTAATTTCAGAGATTCAAGTGATGAGGATAGAATTTCGTCTTCTGAGACGCACAAGATAACTCGCTATCCTATTAGGTATCTGCGGTTGCAGCCTGTTTTCAACATACCGAGTCCTGTTTCATACTCATTGCATATATGGAAGTATTACTAGAATCTTACTTTATAAAATTGATTTCTTTTGGATATTTACTATGATTTTTTTAACTGAACTGATTTCTTAATATACTGTTCATGTTTTTTTCTGGGTGCCAGGAAATAGGCCCAGGACCACTTACATATGAGGCATGTGAGTGTATGTGTGTGTATGGTACCAGAGATGGTCTCAGAACTTCACATATAACAGGCAAAAGCTGTCACTGAGCTACACCCCCTGAGGCACCCACTTTACAGAGCACTGCATCCTCAGCTAATAAAGTACTTCATGTCATGATATGCCCTTACAATAGAACTGGAATATATTCCATTTCTTTTTACTTTTCTGTATAGGACTTCTTCCTTTTAGTTTATCCCATATTTGTTTTTTCTATTATACTATTACTTATGTTGAATTTAATACCAGTTTCTATAAGTGTTTCCTAGTAAAAGCTACAGATAAATATAAATATTCATTGGTAACAAAAAATAACCACCTCTGAGATGATAGAATAATGGACATTATTACCAGCTTCTTCTGGAAGAGTATATATTTCTTGATATATGCCTACATAACACCCCAGAAGTATTGTATAAACTTTATTGACTTAAGGGAAAAAGATACTTAAAGTGACTCAAAGATGAACTATATCCAAATGGTTAAGTCTAGGAATAAGTTGCCTGATCATTTTCTTTTTTGACTATTTTCTTTTCTGGTGAGGGGGCAGAGTTGGGGATAAAATTTATCTAGGACAGAGAAAAAGTAGAAAAGACAATTCCACAAGCACTGGGAGTGGGGTCGGTCCCAAAGGGAAAGACCCTACGAGACCATTTTCAGTTTGCAAAATGGAACATTGCTTAGACTGTGAATGTGATCCCTACAGATTACCCTTTCTCACAGACTTAGGTCAGTATGCACTTAAGAAACTCCCCGGAGTAAGCAGCAGTCTGTGATGACTGATCGTGAAAGTCTGCCTGTCGGACTGATGAAGTCGAGGTGGGGACCGGGAGGAGAAGGTACCCAGAAGTTAGTGCTCTAGGGATGTTGATGATCTGGTGGCAGGACACATACATACAATCTAAATGTGTAAAATTAGCAGACAAAACAAAAAGGCAAACTAGTGGACACTGATAAGAAAACTAAGGTTATCCAAGTATGGGGTGGGAAAGGGGAGTTAAGGGGGAAGAATAGAGATTTCATTCTGTAAATTAAACTGTTGAAACAACTGAAACTGATCAACTCTCCCGAATGACTGTGCATTGCAATCATCTGGGTGCAACTGTTGCTTTTTTGAAAAGACATCGTGATTTATAAAACAGTGTTTTAGGAATATGGTGCTCATATAAAGTAATGTTATTAGTAAATAAAGGTTTGATTTGTATGTCTATTTTATATATCTGTGTGCCATGGTTCTATAAAAATTTCTCAGCCAAAAAGGGGTTGTGGGGTGGGCAAAGTTTAACATACCCTAAATTAGGTAGCACTGTAGCACTGTCCTCCCCTTCATCGATTTGCTCAAGCGGGCACCAGTAACGTCTCCATTGTGAGACTTGTTACTGTGTTTGGCATATTGAATACATAATGAGTAGCTTGCCAGGCTTTGCTGTGTGGGCAAGATACTCTTGGTAGCTTGCTAGGCTCTCTGAGAGGGCCAGCTTGGTCGGCCGGCCGCTGTGCTATTTAGGTAATAGGATATATAGCAATATTAAATGTTAAATTTTTATAGAATTTCATAGTGTTATTGGGCTGGAGCGATAGCACAGCGGGTAGGGCGTTCGCCTTACAAGCGGCCAACATGGCCGACCCGAGTTCGATTCCTCCGCCCCTCTCGGAGAGCCCGGCAAGCTACTGAGAGTATTGGATATGCCAGACACAGTAACAACAAAGTCTCCAATGGAGACGTTACTGGGCCCGCTCGAGCAAATCGACGATCAACGGGAGGGCCTTTACATCTTTACATAGTGTTATTAAATTCACCCTGTGGTATGTAAGAGAATATCTTTATGAAGACCACATCTTTATGAAGACTATATTTTAAGTATGGAACATATTCAATCTTCAAAATTCCAAAAGAATAAAACAGTAGAAAAGTAATTTGTTGGTAATATTGGTGATCTGAGTAAAAGGTATATGAGGAAATCCTGAAATGTGAAAAAGTATTGTTCTTGTAGTCCTTATTCAATAAATGTTTTATCTAACATTAATTTTATCTCTTGATTTAACAAACTATCATATTAAGTTATATTATTAGATCTATCTTAATTTGGGGCCAGAGCGATAGCACAGCGGGTAGGGCGTTCGCCTTCCAAGCGGCCAACATGGCCGACCCGAGTTCGATTCCTCCGCCCCTCTCGGAGAGCCCGGCAAGCTACCGAGAGTATTCAATATGCCAGACACAGTAACAACAAAGTCTCCAATGGAGACGTTACTGGGCCCGCTCGAGCAAATCGACGATCAACGGGAGGGCCTTTACCTTTACCTTTCGGAGAGCCCGGCAAGCTACCGAGAGTATTCGATATGCCAGACACAGTAACAACAAAGTCTCCAATGGAGACGTTACTGGGCCCGCTCGAGCAAATCGACGATCAACGGGAGGGCCTTTACCTTACCTTTACCTTTACCTATCTTAATTTGGGGCTGGAGCGATAGCACAGTGGGTAGGACATTTGCCTTGGACGCGGCCTACATGGCCAACCCAAGTTCAATTCCTCCGTCCCTCTCGGAGAGCCCGGCAAGCTACTGAGAGTTTCTCGCCCTCACAGCAAAGCTTGGCAGATTACCTGTGATGTATTCGATATGCCACATGCAGTAACAAGTCTCACAATGTTACTGGGCCCACACGAGCAAAACGATGAACAATGGGAGGACAGTGACAGATCTTAATTTGAACACATTGGACTGTGATCATTTTTGTTGTCATACAAAGAAGTGATTTCTAAATGCTCTCTAGCAGAGTCTCATGCTTTCTGTGTGCTACAAATGAAGTCAGAAAAAAAAATAAAAACCTTTTCTGGGTCAAATCTGCCATCAAAAACCTAATACTGCGTTAAGTGGCCAGCTAAGACCACTTAAATCCATGAGTATGGTTAGTGTTTTATCCAATCAAGCAAAATTGAAGCTCTTCTGAATTGGTTTTATGGAATCTGTCTTATCATAATTTGAACACACAACAAAATCATGATATTAGTACTTGTGTTTTCAGTTGGTTAACTCCTTTTCTTTCCTTTGTGGTGTATGATGGGATCGCCACTAGACAGAGGTAACCTGTTGGATGCTCTGTGGCAGTGCTTCTTGATTTCATTGTCATGGTCCTCCTGAGATTATGCCTGCAGTGCTGCTCTTACCTTGTGCTTGCATGATGTTATTATTTTGACTGTGCTTTGTTTGGGTTTAAAACCTCTTGTTTTGGTACCCAAAATAACTCCTTGAGTATATTTATTTGACCCAGAATTTATTTAAGTTGGTTCCAAGCCTAACTCATTAATGGATCCTTTTCAGTTTTTTACCAGTATCTTTCTTATCACCATTAACTTTATGGTCTGATAAGGAATTCAGAAAACAGAATAGTTTGCTTGAAAGCCCTCTTGCAGACAAGCTGTTACTGGAGCTGAAAAGTTACTTCCTTTGTGATTTTCATAGGTTAAAGAGAACGAATATATTCTTAGAGAAAAAGCTGAATTTTAAAAGAGTTCCATCAACTACTGAGATGTAGGTAACTCCACCAAGGTAACAGTAAACATGATTAAGTTAATCAGTTAACTTGCCCAGTGCTTGGCATACCTGCCTAAGGCAACCAAAACCAAATTTGTTTTTTGGTTGTTTTTGTTTTGTTTTTAAGTAAAAATGGATTTTGCTTGTAAGCTTTGAGGAAGGGGAGGGAGAGAAAGAGTAACGCACACAAGAGAGAACGTGGATTTCTCCAGTGGCAGAGAGGGACTGTTATTTTACACACACTATACTCCAGAACTAGAATCCTTAAAGTTAGTAAGTAAAAATTAAAATTAAGTGTTTAAGAAATTTGACTTCTGAGCATTTGTTTGGGCTTTGGAAATAGAAATAAATGTTTACCTCTTCATTTCTGATCATTAACAACATAGGTTTTCTTGAACAATTAGAACTGATTTCCCTTTAGTTTTTTTTTTCATTTGCTTTTTTGGAGGGATTTTTTTTCCTACCTAATTTTTTTTTCTACTTCTTTGGAAGATGTATTGTTTTTAAAGCTACTTCATAACTAAAACTAGCCCCACTGAAGTAGACCTGTACTAAAAGTTAAATTGTAGGTGATCGTAAAATTGAAATCGTTTTCTAGTATTTATATTAAGACAGTCTTGAAACAAATAAGCAAGATCTTTTGTGATTTTCATCATCTTAAAAACTGTAAAAGGATCCATTATTCTGGAATGGCAGTCAATGAAATGCTTAGACAAAATAGCATTAATATGTCAGATAAATGATGATTCATCTCTAATACTTATATTCTAATTGTTATATCTTTTATTTTCTTTTGGTGGGACCTATACATTTAACAGAAAATTGCCCAGGAACGAGAAAAATTTGCTGATGAAGGCAGTATATTTTACAGTCTTGGAGAATGTGGACTCATATCCTTTTCAGATTACATTTTCCTTACAACTGTTCTTTCTAGTAAGTATAAACTTTTTATCCATTTATAGGGAGCGTGTAGGACTGTATAAAGAGTTGAGTTGGAAAAAACAAAGACATGTTGGTAGATTTAATTACAAGCTACATAAAATGCCATTTTGTTTTTAATTTTCTGTAATTTGTTTTTGAAACCACTCAGGAAAGGAATAAATAGGGCCAGAGAAATAGTACAGCGGGTAGGGCACTTACCTTGCACACATCTGACGGATGTTCAGTCCCCAGCATCCCATATGTGCCCCGTAGCAGTGTCAGGAGTAACCTCTGAGCACTGATGGGTGTGGCACAAAAAAACCAAAAATTTTGGGGTTTTGGGCCACACCCATCAATGAAATAGGAAATATCAAGATAGAGTTTTTTTAAAAGGCAACTATGAAGCTGGACCACATATAGGCCTCTATGCAGCACTAGGAGTGATTCTAGCATAGAGCCGTGAGTGTGTAATCTCCAGGGCGGCTAGGGAGACCCCGGACCCTCTTTTATCACCTGCATTTTTCAAGAAAATAAGTCAAACAATTAAATTTTTTCATGAAAACCATAAGAGATCCCAAATGGCCAAAATCATCTCTCCAAGAAGGAAAAATTGATGTCTCCTGCTCCTTGAATTCGAACTATATTACGAAGCATGGTAGTTAGAAAGTATAGTATTGGAACAAGAAACTGACCAACAGATCAATGGAATGTAAATAGACTCCAGAAATAAACTCCACGTAGGGATAGCTCATTTATGGTAAAGAAGCAAAGACTGAACAGTGGAAAAGAGAAAGCCTCTTCAAATAGTGCTGGGAAAGCTAGATTGCCCTAAGCAGGAAAAAAAAAAAAAAACTGGAACAAAAATGAACACCAGATGTCTACTTCTTTTAGTGTGTCTCATAATTTTCAGCATAGTGCCCCACTATTTATTTTGGTTTATTTGTAGGATGTTATTATCTGGGATAAGAATAAATATCATTCTTTTCCTTTGCTCTGTATGCCTATTTTTAATTTCAATGCCATACTGTTTTAACTATTATTACTTTGTAATGTTGTTTGAAATTAGGATGTGTCAGGCATCTGTTCGAGTTATTTTTTTATTTAATTGCAAATGGATTACTTTCTTAAGTTCCCTTTCATCTAACTTATGGTTTTCAAATAGAAATACAACAAATTTATGCATGCTGATTTAATACCTCCCATTTTTCTGTTAGTTTTGGGGTGTAGTTTTATATATACATACATATATTATATATAGTAGCATGTAATCTGTAAATAGTGGTGTGATTCCTCTGACCCTGAAAGAGCCTCCAATCATTGGGAAAAGATGAGTAAAAAGAAGCTGCTAAAATCTCAGGGCTGGGAGGAATGTAGACGTAACTGGTGCCTGCTGAGTAATTCGACGATCATCAGGATGATGGTTACAATTTGTTTGGTGTGTGTGTGGGGGGGGGGGGGCGCGGGGCGGAGAGGGAGGGTTTAGGTTTAGGGTCAGCATATTGGCCTCATAGAATATGTTTGGGAGTGTCTCTCCACTCCCACCTTTGATTTTGGGGGTGGGGGTTTGTGTTTGAGGAGGATGCATTTTAGTACTTCTTTGAAAGTTCTGTGGAATTCACTGGTGAAAGCCACACGCTTTTGGACTTCTCTTCACAGGGAGACTTGGTTACTATTGCAGTTCCTCATGTACTTGAGATTCCAAAGAATCTCTAATTGATAGTGGACTGAAGTAGGAAGTGTGTCATCTGGCTTTGTATTCCCCCACGGTACCTCATGCTATCTTTTTCTTTTCCCCATTCTAAAACTGTTTGAATAAAAGGATGTTTGGAATGTGACATTTTTGAGTCCTTCATTGACAAAAGAAACCCAGCCATCCAACTGTCTCCTTACCCTAAATTATTGTCAGATGCTCTTTATTTTACCTTTCTGACAGAGTATCTCCTTCATTACTCTAAAATACATAATAGAGGGCCAAGAGTTTGTGAGTCAGGTGAGTCACTTGCCTTGCAGGTGATCTGGGTGCAATCCCCAGCTCCACATACTGTTCCCTGAGCCCTCCCTGTAGCTATTCCTGAGCACAGCCAGGTATGGCTACAAAAGCAAAGAAGAAACAAATATAGATACTCTCCCAAATTTCAACCTTTTCAACCTCTTTCTTTTCCTCCACAGCCCCTACCCTGTCCTATGTTTCATTGTTAATGATTCGGAGGCTCTGTAGGTATTCAACACTTAATAATTGATGATATTCGAAGATAATTATTTATGGTTCATGAATTTTGTTTTTTCATATTTCCTGCATCGTAGAAGCTGTCCTGGAATGAAATATATTGCTCCAATATATTTCAAAATAGCTGACCTTTACAGAAAGTCTGCAACTTAATGGGCTTTGGATTTGCTTTGGCTTTATCATGTGTTGCTTACCTATTTCTGAAATAACTTTAGAAAATGCCTGTAATGAATGAAGAATTTGAGGACTCAAAAAGAAAATTAAATTCATTGTGGTCATAGCAGTTTGCCTTATCACTGTCCTGTCACTGTCACTGTCCCTCCCGTTGTTCATCAATTTGCTTGAGCAGGCGCAGTAACATCTCCATCGTGAGACTTGTTGTTACTGTGTTTGGCATATCGAATACATCACGGGGAGCTTGCCAGGCTTTGCTGTGCGGGTGAGATACTCTCGGTAGCTTGCCAGGCTCTCCGAGAGGGGCAGAGGAGTCGAACTCGGGTCGGCCATGTTGGCTGCGTGCAAGGCAAATGCCCTACCCTATCTGGTGAAAATATCTAGCACAGTATCTGATGTATAATCAATCTACTGTTTTGGGTTTTTTTTTTGCTAAATAGCTAAGAACTTTTTTTTTTAATTTTTTTTTCTTTTTTTATTAGTGAAAAACCATGAGGTACAGTTATAGGCTTACAAATTTTGTGCTTGGGTTTCAGTTATACAATGATCAAGTCCCCATCCCTCCACCAGTACCCGTCATCCATCCCCATGGGTCCCAGCATCCCCCCCACCCTCATCCCCCCCCCCCCCCCCCCGTCCCATCCTGCCTCTGTGGCAGGGTATTCCCCCCTGTTCTCTCTCTCTTCTTTTGGGTACTGTGTTTTGCAAGAGAGGCTTTGAGTGGCAATCATGTTTGGTCTATCGACTACCTTCAGCATGCTTCTCCCACCCTGGGAGGGCCCTCACAACACCCTTCATTTGGTACTCTCTTCTCTATCTGAGCTTCCTTTTCACCTAGAGTCTGTGGCTGGCCTTCCATTCATGGAGCAAAATTCCTGGTACTAATCTCAGCCATTCCTGTGTGTCACTCTCCCTTTTTGTTGCTTTATGTTCCCCAGATGAATGCAATCTTTCTGTGTCTATTATGCTCTTTCTGACTCATTTCACTTAACATGATACTTTCCATGTAGTACCACTTGTATGTAAATTTCATAACTTCATCTTTTCTAACAGCTACATAGTACTCCATTGTGTAAATGTACCAAAGTATCTTTAACCAGTCATCTGTTCTCGGGCACTCAGGTTTTTTCCAGATTCTGGCTATTGTAAAGAGTGCTGCAATGAACAAACAATTGCAGATGTCACTTCGACTATACCTTTTTGCCTCTCTGGGATATATTCCCAGGAGTGCTATAGCTGGGTCAAATGGCAGATCAAATTCTAATTTTTTGAGAGTCGTCCATACTGTTTTCCAAAAGGGTTGGACCAGCCGGCATTCCCACCAGCAGTGAAGGAGGGTCCCTTAAGAACTTTTTTGAATACTTAATATACATACCAAAGTTTTATACTGCTCTAAGAACTCCTTACTTCCCAGTTAAAAAACTTAAAACTGTTTTTAAAATAGTATTTCTATATATGAAATCTGTATATGAAAGATAAAAATTTTTTATAATAGATAAATTTTTCTGTTTTGATTTTGGAACACCAAATAACTTTGGGTTGAAAACCAAACCTAGCTACCTATTATTTAGGGTTTCTCAAATTAGTGTGGATTAAGGAAACAAAACCTGGCTAGTTCTAAACAACTATGTTATGCAAAAACTTGTATTTTTATGTATCTGCCACTTTGACTGTTAGTAATCATATGGAGTAGAATGGGATGAAACCACCATGGAATCGTGGAGTGAAAACCAAGCAGATGATTATTTTTTAGATCTCTGAAGATAGAGGTGGAAGTCTGTCTTGCAAACATATGTAATTTCAGCATAAAAAAATTATCATGTATTTAAAGAAACTGTGTTCCTAAAATACAGTGTGACCGCAGTGAAAGGATAGTAATTCACTGACATACATCCCCTCTCAGGAATTCTCGGGGAATCCGAGCTCTTTGATATTCAGTATTCTGTCTGGCATTGAATACTTATCCTGCAGCACAGCTGTCTAATAGCAGTATTAGGAAGGGCGATTTGAATGAGACTGGCAGTTCTGTGAAGGTCATTCATTAGCTGAGATTGAAATAAAGCCCAAAGAAATCTATGTACTGTGAGCAAGAAACATCAGATATTTCTTTCATTTCAGTATGAAATTTGTTTTTGATTTTTTTTAAAATCGGGCCTTAGACTATTTTCCCGGAAAAATGTAAATGAAAGAAAAGCAGTATTTGTAGTATCAATCCAGTACTTAAGTCTTTTGAAAGAATTCGGATATTTTTCAGCTTTACAAAGCTTTTATTTTATTTTTTTCATAATTTTATTTTTTTCTTCTTATATTTATTTATTGAATTATTGTGGGGAAAGTTACAAAGCTTTCAGGTTTAAGTCTTGGTCATACAATGATCAAACACCTTTCCCTTCGCCAGTACTCATTTTTCACCACCAAGAACCCCAATATACCCCCTTCCCACCCCTCCCAATGCCTGTGAGGCAGATGATTTCTACTTAACTCTTTTCTATATTGATTACATTCATTATTTCGACAAAAGATGCACCATTATTGTTTAGAATTTCCACCCCAACAATCAGAATTGCTGAAAAGGCATTGTGAAATACTTTGTTTTCTATAATTGGTATGA